AATGTACCATGGACTGCCAAGAAAACAAACAGATTCATCCTTGAGAGGGTTAAACCAGGCTACTTCTTGGAGGCAAGGATTTTGGGGCTTTCTCTGACATACTTTGGCCATGTTGTAAGGAGAGACAGATCTTTAGAGAGGGACAGCATGCTGGGTAAAGTAGATGGACAGCGCAGGAGGGGAAGACCCTCTATGAGGTGGATTGATTCAGTGACTGGGCTAATCAGGATGGGCGTGTCAGAGGCAGTGCGATTGGCACAGGATAGAGCAGGGTTTAGGGCTGTTGTGCACAGGGTCGCTATGAGTCGCAAACGACTCAAGGACACATAACAACAACAACAACGAGTCATATTAAAAAGCATGTTTGGTACATGCATGACAAATTTGGGGAAATGCTTGCCTGTACTTGCCATAAGGGAGGAACCTCTGGTGGATAAGTGTTAAGGAATTGTGCTGCCAAGGCAAAGGTACATGGTTCGGATTTGCCAAATGCTTTATGGGAGAAAGATAAGCACTCGCCTTCCTTGCAATTTACTGCCTCTGTGAAATCTGCTGGAGGATCAGCTCTGTGTTGGTTTTGACTCGAAGGTACACAACAACAACAACATTGTCTATAGGGAGCTGTGGTGGTGTAGTCCATTGTGAGTTACACTGCTAACCAAAGGTTATGCTTTTCCCATGGTTTGAATCCATCAGAAGTTGCACAGGAGGAACATGTTCAGCCTTGTAGTGATTTGCACCTGGGAAACCTCAGAGTGTTACTGTGTGTCAGAACCAATTCCTCAGCAATAAGGTTGAAGGAGTTTGAGCTGTTGTCTAAATTTAAAGTTCTGGAAACTAAGAAGGACATTTCTACCTCTCAGATTCTGTTCTTTTCCCTAAAAGTTTTAGTTATAGCTAAGTCCCTAATGTTTTGAGCAAAGGCAGAAGGATTCTGAAGTGAGTGAGGAGAATTGATCCTAGATCTTTGTGAGCTGCATCTACTGTGGGAATATATAGCTGTTCTTTGACCAGCACTCAATTATTCTTGATTTTAAAATGTTACTGCAGAGGTGTGATTTTTAGACTCTCCCAATTTAGGATAGATGGCTAAAACAGGCAGGAATGTCACTGCAGGCAGTATAAGGTCGATGGCTGTGGACTTGCTGAGTTCCCTATGTGAGTCCTGACTGGTGGTCTTTCCCTGTGGCCGCTTCCCTGGGCTGTTGCTCCTCAGGCTTTGTCTTTGCACGAGTGGTGAGGAAGGGGAAGGCTCACCATCTGTTACTCTGCCCTCTCTCTCCCGGCTTCCTGCCCGCAGAAACAGGTTCAGTTAAGAGTGACTGGCTGAGGTCCAGTGGCGAAGCAATGGGTGGCTCTATCCTGACCACACACAGATCTGCTATTGTCGCCATCTGTGGTGTTTTTTTTGTTTGTTTGTTTGTGTTTAACTGAATGTTGTATGTTAGAGAGCAATACCTTTTCACCTATGAATCTTCTCAAGCAAAATGGATTCCATTTCGAAACTCTAGCTTTGACTTGAAAAAATATATTTCATTTATCTCGTAAGAACATTTTTAATTGAAATTATAAATTCCAGAGGTGAAAAGAGGTTTGATTTAACTATAGGCAGAAGATTTTTAGTTCCTCATCTCAGCAGATGGAATTAATACAGGTATAGCAAAGTTAACATCATGGTTGTTTGCATTATTAATCTTCAAATGCACAGCATTTTACTACCTTGCTCTCCGTGTTTGCATGATTCTTTCATTGCAGCATATGTGAGCAGAAATGTACTTCCATCTGCTCCTGGAGAGCTTGTTGCCTGATATTCTGAGACAAGACTCAGCACAATGCGTACCTCTCTGAGTAATTACAGGTGTGTGGTGAGGAGCCCAGAGCATTAATCAGAGGCTTAATTATGAAAAAGGTGGATCTTTTGTTCTGCTCCTGGAGCATGCATTTACTACACACTCTCTAAACTGCATCACCCATCTGCTTGCCCCCTTAGAATGTTTACCTTGGCTGATAAGGACCCTAAGCATATCAGAGGGTGAGATTAAAATAGGTTTAAACATTAACTTGAGAGAAGCACCATAGGCTTTTTTTCCCTCTTTCTTTTAAAAATAATGACTATGCTTTTTATGTTTTGGTACAGAAAAAAGTATCTGAAACATAATAACATTTAAAGTAATATTTGCTACAATGTTTAATATATGTGAGCTCTAGTGGTTGAACAATTGTGCACTCAAATTAAGTTCAATAACTAATAAGGAAAATAACTTTTAGGGAAAATATGAAAATAATCTTAAGAATTGTTATGTCTTTTTTAAATTATGAAAGACTTAAGTAAATATATTAAAATTTAGCACATTACTTTGTTCTACTATAATAAAATTAAACCAAGATTATTTTAAGAGCTTTTTCAAGTGGTCATACTGAAAACTAAGAAAAGCTCAATCTCCTTTCATCTTTTGCTCCTCACTAGCTTCCTACTCTAGGTTGTATACTTCAGGTCACGTAACTGTATCACCATATGACACACACTGATGGCTCAAGGAGATGATATTCTTTATGAGAGTGAAGAGTGTTTAAAGTTTCTATCTTCTCCAGGGCTCACTATAAACAGGGAATCTTCTGGTCAAAAGCTATGATTTAAATTTCAGACAGGCCACCTTACAGCTTGTTTTTCCCTTTCACTTATCTGTCAAAACAAAGCAGTGCTTATTGAACTAACATATTTTCCAGTGTTTTCTCAGGTTATACAACAGTCATACATACAATGAACTGACTTCTTTGCTTTTTTATTTCATTTTCATTTTCTTGTAAATTATAGTTGTGGCTTCTTGGCTTCCTTTGTAGGATATCATAAACACCATAGTAAGGCACTGTCCACCTCGTCTTTTCTCCCTGGACTTACCAGGCTTTTCCATGCTGCTCGGGGATTTCATCATGGCTGCAGCCAGGGTTCTCAGTGCAGACATGTTGGTGGTGAGTATGGCAATGCTCAGCATCCTGGCTCCCTGGAGGCTTCACAGTTGTTAACAAGGTTCAGATTTCTCTACTCTTAACAGGTGTTGACTCATTAGTGCAATGTGAAACTGGGCTCTCAGGGTAGATACTCTGGTAGCTGATGTGTGAAATTATAGGATAAGATGACACATTGGTATTAGAAAGGCGTTTCATCAAAAGGCCAAAGTGTGAGAAATCATATCCTCACTAATATTTCAACACATTTACAGAGTCAGAAGCAGAACTTGGCTCTTTGAATCTTATTAGCATTTTCCATTATATGGTGGTACAGACAGAGATGACCTTACTAAAGAGAGAATTTTATGTATAGATCAGCAGTAAGGTTGTCTCAGAATATCTTGCATTTTAAAGTTTCACTGAATCTTAATGACTTATCAGAGTCTAATTTTGTTAAAAATATTTTAACTGGAAAATGACTATATACTTTCCTGTTAATGTGCCATTACTAAAACTTTGGTAGAATTTGCATATTTAACTGTTAGAAGTGGGTAGACCACTAACATATGAATGGCTATCAAGAGAATTCATTTGCAATTTCCATACTAATATCTATTATTAAAATGATGTATGTGATGGCCAATCACACAATGTGTATTCCAATTAAGAATTTGAAACAGAGCATGCATAACCTATTGAATTGGGAGAGGAAAATAAGAAAAGAAGTTTGTTCACATGCATAAACATTTACAGAACATCCACAGAGAGGACTAGAGAGGTGGGAGAAGGAACAGAGATTAACTAATAGATGAGCAAAGTGAAGGGAGAGGGAGAGTACATTGAGGTCTTAGTAGGATGTTGTAAATAATGACATCATCTGATTGTAATTGTCATAAAATAAACATAAGTGGCTGAATGAAAGCTATTTTTAAAAAAAAAATGAGAATGCTTATACATTTAACTTTAAATGGTATTTTCCCATTTAAGGAACCCTGGTGAAGCAGCACATTTAGCATTGGGTTGTCATCTGAAAAGTTAGCTGTTCAGATCCTCTAGCTGCTCCCTGGAGACAGATGAATTGCTTTGCTTCCTTAAAGATGCATGACCTTAGAAACCCTAATGGGCAGGTTTACTCTGTCCTATAGAGTCATGCTTGGAATAGTCAGCAAAAGAGAGAAAGACCCTCAACAAGATGGATTGACACAGTGAATATACAAATGGGCTTGACTTCATCTCATCAGAGATGAAAAGGACAGCACAGGTTAGGACAAGGTTCAGATCCGTTGTTCCTCCCAGATTCTTTCATGAAGCAAACATATCTTTCATACCAAATCCAGGAAAAGACACCACCAAAATAGAAAACTATAGGCCAATATCTCTCATGAATATTGATGCAAAAATCCTGAATAAAATACTGGC